TGATGACTTAAAAGAAATGTAAGATTCACTATAGTGAAATACTGTAAACAATAAAAATAATGGAAAATAAGTGAGCTTTACTTTTTGATGCCTGAGTTATTTGAATAGTATGTGCATATATTAAATATATGAGTGTGTATGCATGTATGAATTGTGGCCTTTGAGTGATAATAAGTAGTTTTCAGAAGATTCATAGTGTTAGTCTATTAAATGCTAGTTGGAGAAGAGGAATAAAGTACAGTTATTTAAAAATGTGAAAAATGGCATTAGATTCCAATAGTCAGCATAGATATATAATATTTAAAAAAGAATAACTAGATTCACATTTTTTTTAGCTTCCGAAATAAGGGGCAGATGAGAAGGAAAAGAACAAAAAGCCAATTGATATTACTTGTATTTTAGAGGAAAAAATCAAGACAAATTTCTTCAGCACATTTGTCATATGTATCTATAATTTGACGGGTAAAAAGGTGGACTGAACCAAAATACTAAATTTGAACAAACAAATAGGAAAATATGTTAAGCCAAATATGACCATAGTATTACTCCTTTTTATAATGCTTATTCTAAAGACCATAAGGTTATTAATAAATTCTCTCATAATCTTTCATAAGTGAGATAAAATACTGCCTTATTTGTTATACTATATGATATAGTAACAAGGAATAAGCAATAAGATTCTACTGACATCTAAGAAAACAAATCTCCATATAATATACTTATGCTATATGACTTTTTTGTCCTTGTAATATGCCAATGGTGAAAGTAAACATACTTTTTATTGTACTGTTTCGTTTGGATGTTTTATTCTTCAAACATTTATCACACTCATGCACACTCACTCTCATGCTTACACTCACTCTCACGCTCAGGCTCATGCACTCTCACTCACACTCACACTCATGCACACATGTACACTCACTCTCATGCTTAAAATCACTCACACTCACTCATGCACACTCACTCTCACTCTTACACTCTCTCTCACATTCACACTCATGCACACTCACTCTCATGCTTATAATCACTCACACTCACTCATGCACACTCACTCTCATGCTTACACTCTCACACTCTCACGCTTGCACTCACACTCATGCACACTCATGCACACTCACTCTCACTCTTACACTCTCTCACACTCACACTCATGCACACTCACTCTCATGCTTGCACTCACTCACATTCACACTCATGCACACTCACTCTCACTCTTACACTCTCTCTCACACTCACTCTCATGCTTGCACTCACACTCACATTCACACTCATGCACACTCAACTCTCACACTCTCTCTCACACTCACACTCATGCACACTCACTCTCACTCTTACACTCTCTCTCACATTCACACTCATGCATACTCACTCTCATGCTTATAATCACTCACACTCACTCATGCACACTCACTCTCATCCTTACACTCACACTCTCATGCTTGCACTCACTCTCACACTCACACTCATGCACACTCATGCACACTCACTCTCACTCTTACACTCTCTCACACTCACACTCATGCACACTCACTCTCATGCTTGCACTCACTCACATTCACACTCATGCACACTCACTCTCACTCTTACACTCTCTCTCACACTCACTCTCATGCTTGCACTCACTCTCACATTCACACTCATGCACACTCAACTCTCACGCTCTCTCTCACACTCACACTCATGTACACTCAACTCTCACACTCACACTCATGCACACTCAACTCTCACACTCACACTCATGCACACTCAACTCTCACACTCACACCCATGCACACTCAACTCTCACACTCACACTCATGCACACTCAACTCTCACACTCACACTCATGCACACTCAACTCTCACACTCACACTCATGCACACTCAACTCTCACACTCACACTCATGCACACTCAACTCTCACACTTTCTCTCACACTCACACTCATGCACACTCAACTCTCACACTCACACTCATGCACACTCAACTCTCACACTCACACTCATGCACACTCAACTCTCACACTCTCTCACACTCACACTCATGCACACTCAACTCTCACACTCACACTCATGCACACTCAACTCTCACACTCACACTCATGCACACTCAACTCTCACACTCACACTCATGCACACTCAACTCTCACACTCACACTCATGCACACTCTCACACTCACACTCATGCACACTCACACTCACTCATGCACACTTACTCACACTCATGCACACTCAACTCTCACACTCACACTCATGCACACACACTCACACTCATGCACTCACTCAACTCTCACACTCAACTCTCACACTCACACTCATGCACACTCAACTCACACTCACACTCATGCACACTCAACTCTCACACTCACACTCATGCACACACACTCACACTCATGCACTCACTCAACTCTCACACTCAATCTCACACTCACACTCATGCACACTCAACTCACACTCACACTCTCACACTCACTCATGCACACTCAACTCTCACTCTCACACTCACACTCATGCACACTCAACTCACACTCACACTCTCACACTCACTCATGCACACTCAACTCTCACACTCACACTCACACTCATGCACACTCAACTCTCACACTCACACTCATGCATACTCACACTCACTCTCACACTCATGCACACTCAACTCTCACACACTCAACTCTCACACTCTCTCACACTCACACTCATGCACACTCAACTCTCACACACTCATGCACACTCAACTCTCACACTCTCTCACACTCACACTCATGCACACTCAACTCTCACACTCACACTCATGCATACTCACACTCACACTCAACTCTCACACTTGCACTCACTCTCACACTCACACTCATGCACACTCAACTCTCACTCTCTCACACTCACACTCATGCACACTCAACCCTCACACTCATGCACACTCACACTCATGCACACTCAACTCTCATACTCACACTCATGCATACTCACTCTCACACTCACACTCATGCACACTCACTTGCACTCACACTCATGCACACTCAAGTCTCACACTCACACTCATGCACACTCAACTCTCACACTCACACTCATGCACACTCAACTCTCACACTCACACTCATGCACACTCACTCTCACACTCATGCACACTCACTTTCACACTCATGCACACTCAACTCACACTCATGCACACTCACTCTCACACTCACACTCATGTACACTCACTCTCACACTCATGCACACTCACACTCATGTACACTCACTCACACTCATGCACACTCATGTATACTCACTCTCACACTCATGCACACTCACACTCATGTACACTCACTCTCACACTCATGCAAACTCAACTCTCACACTTGCACTCACTCTCACACTCACGCTCATGCACACTCAACTCTCACATTTGCACTCTCTCGCTCTCACACTCATGCACACTCACTCTCTCACACTCATACACAAACTCACACTTGCACTCACTCTCACGGTTACACTCACTCTCACTCATACACACTCACACTCATGCACACTCAACTCTCACACTCACACTTATGCACACTCAACTCTCACACTCACACTCATGCACACTCACACTCATGCACACTCAACTCTCACACTCACACCCAAGCACACTCACACTCATGTACACTCAACTCTCACACACACTCATGCACACTCAACTCTCACACTCATGCACACTCACTCTCACACTCACACTCATGCACACTCAACTCTCACACTCACACTCATGCACACTCAACTCTCACACTCACACTCATGCACACTCAACTCTCACACTCTCATTCATGCACACCCAACTCTCACACTCACATTCTCTCACACTCACACTCATGCACACTCAACTCTCACTCTCACTCATGTACACTCACTCTCACACTCATGCACACTCACTCTCACACTCACACTCATGCACACTCACTCTCACACTCACACTCATGCACACTCACTCTCACACTCATGTACACTCACTCTTACACTCATGCACACTCACTCTCACACTCATGCACACTCACTCTCACACCCACACTCAAGCACACTCACTCTCACACTCATGCACACTCAACTCTCACACTCATGCATACTCAACTCTCACACTCATGCACACTCAACTCTCACACTCACACTCATGCATACTCAACTCTCACACTCTCTCATGCACACTCAACTCTCACACTCACACTCATGCACACTCACTCTCACACTCATGCACACTCACTCACACTCAAGCACACTCAACTCTCACACTGTCTCACACTCACACGCATGCATACTCAACTCTCACACTCTCTCACACTCACACTCATGCACACTCACACTCTCTCACTCACTCATGCACACCCAACTCTCACACTCTCACTCTCTCACACTCACGCTCATGCATACTCAACTCTCACACTCTCTCACACTCACACTCATGCACACTCACACTCATGCACACCCAACTCTCACACTCTCTCACACTCACTCTCACGCTCATGTACACTCACTCTCACACATGCACACTCACTCTCACACTCACACTCATGCACACTCAACTCTCACACTCATGCACACTCACTCTCACACTCATGCACACTCACTCTCACACTCATGCACACTCACTCTCACACATGCACACTCACGCTCACACTCATGCACACTCACTCTCACACTCATGAACACTCAACTCTCACACTTGCACTCTCTCACTCTTACACTCATGCACACTCACTCTCACTCTTACACTCACACTCATGCACACTCACTCTCACGCTTGCACTCTCTCTCACACACATACATCATACTAATATTACGTAAATGTTAAAATGTATTTGAATAAGCGCTGTATAGTGAATGCGTTTGAATGTACTGACTCTGGCTTCAATTAGCAATGAAATTTCCCCAGATTACCAGACTTTCACCCTTCATAATATTCTAGATAATGATCACCCCCCATCTCACGCCCAAATAAGGGACCCAATTTGAAATTAGAAATAAAACGAAAAAAAACAAATAATTGTTTTTTTCACGAGAATCGGACGCAGTCATGGCGGCCGCGAGGGTAGTGTGGAAGAGACGAACTTCTTCCACTTTTTTGCGGATTTCTCCCCTTTCCCGGGACTGGGCACGCCGGAACCACCACCCAGCCCCACTCGACGAGTACACGGACGTGCCCGAGTACCCGCCCATCCTCGACGTCAGCAGAGAAGCGAGGAAAAGGAGGAAAACCGAGGCATGGCACCAGAAGATCGCAGACCTCCCTACCCTCGAGCAGAAATTAATGGAGCTCAACATGCCCAAATACCACGGGTACTGGGCATGCAGGCTCTTGGACACGAAGCCCACGCTCCAGGGCACGCCTTTCACCCAGTATGCCACCAGGACGCACGTGGTGGAGGGGTTGCCTGAGGGATACCACGAGAGGGAGGCGGCGGCGGGGCTGACGGAGGGGCTGAAGGGCGCCGTCGAGGACCTGCTTCTGCTCAACTTCCAGACGCCCTTGAGCAGGTAGTGTGGCCTCAGCGGGTTGGGCGGGTTCAGCAGGTTCAGCGGGTTCAGTCAGGAGCAGCAGGTTCAGTAAGGAGCTGCAGGTTCAGTAAGGAGCAGCTGGTTCAGCAGGTTCAGCAGGTTCAGCAGGTTCAGTCAGGAGCAGCAGGTGATACTAACCAGAAGAAGAAAAAGGGAAAATACCGGGATAGTATAAGGTAAAATTTGCCGGTAATGGGCAAAATGACCCAAAATCCATGAACCCAACCCATGCCCAGGGAAATGAAGAATCCTCCTTGTATTCACGGCAGGAGTGACCGGAACTTCAGTAAAAAACTATTCAGTAGACACTGTATTAGATCAAATAGTCACCTCATACCAACCCATACCAACCCATACCAACCCATACCAACCCATACCAACCCATACCAACCCATACCAACCCATACCAACCCATACCAACCCATACCAACCCATACCAACCCATACCAACCCATACCAACCCATACCAACCCATACCAACCCATACCAACCCATACCAACCCATACCAACCCATACCAACCCATACCAACCCATACCAACCCATACCAACCCATACCAACCCATACCAACCCATACCAACCCATACCAACCCATACCAACCCATACCAACCCATACCAACCCATACCAACCCATACCAACCCATACCAACCCATACCAACCCATACCAACCCATACCAACCCATACCAACCCATACCAACCCATACCAACCCATACCAACCCATACCAACCCATACCAACCCATACCAACCCATACCAACCCATACCAACCCATACCAACCCATACCAACCCATACCAACCCATACCAACCCATACCAACCCATACCAACCCATACCAACCCATACCAACCCATACCAACCCATACCAACCCATACCAACCCATACCAACCCATACCAACCCATACCAACCCATACCAACCCATACCAACCCATACCAACCCATACCAACCCATACCAACCCATACCAACCCATACCAACCCATACCAACCCATACCAACCCATACCAACCCATACCAACCCATACCAACCCATACCAACCCATACCAACCCATACCAACCCATACCAACCCATACCAACCCATACCAACCCATACCAACCCATACCAACCCATACCAACCCATACCAACCCATACCAACCCATACCAACCCATACCAACCCATACCAACCCATACCAACCCATACCAACCCATACCAACCCATACCAACCCATACCAACCCATACCAACCCATACCAACCCATACCAACCCATACCAACCCATACCAACCCATACCAACCCATACCAACCCATACCAACCCATACCAACCCATACCAACCCATACCAACCATAAGAAAGTTTCGCAACATGTATTACTTTGGTAAACATATATAGGAAATTGAAATGACACCCTGATAATTGAAGGGAAAAAAACTACATGCTCTGATACATGAAATAATCTCCATAGGTAGAGAATAACGTTAGAAATTAAGGAATTAGGTCGCAATAAATACCACAGCAATTGGGTTTGGGGTCTTGGGGAAGAATACAGTGAGGAAATACAGTGAATACAGTGATCGGTGAGGGGTCTCGGTACAAAAGCCCCAGCATTAGGAAGGTTTATGTTTCATACGGTAGAGTTTGTGGGTTTCTTAGGAGTGACTGGAGTAATAGGGGGTAAGGTCACTTCACATCACCGATACTTACATCTATATCATCTGCGGTGGAAGATAACGGAGAGAGATGATTGCATATTGCAGTGTTGGTGATTGAAAGAAGTATTGATAATTGTAATATTGGATGAATGTGGGAAACTAAATAAAATTATCAGAATTTAGTTCATGTTGTGATGTTTATGGATCTCCAAGAGTGGATGCAGTAATAGGGACTTTGGCTCAGAGGGTTGTGGGCACTTTGTAAATAATTACCGATACTTTAATTTACAGGACTTGTGATGGAAAAGACAGCATTGCAAATATTTGAAACATTGAATGATTGCAAGGTTGGATGGCAATGTTAAACAAAAAAATTATTGGAGTATGCTGCAAAGGGTTAGATATTCAATAAAGCGTAAATGACATTTACTACTTTTAATCTCCACCACTGAAGGATAAAAGTGGATTAAGATATAAAAAAGAAATTAGTTTGTTTCTTAAAATCCATTGAAATTGGTATCATTAGATTTGTAATGAAGTCAAGTGTTTATTTTTAGTGGTTTTAGTTGCCGAAGATCAACAATAACAATGATACTAGCTGTACTGGCTGAGGAAGGTACATTAATGTTCTAGAGTAGGTTTGCATCTTTAACCCTTTGCCACCAGGTGGCATGTACGTACATGCCATTGCATGCCTGGACTATATTCTGGGTGGTATGTGCACCTTGGCATGTACATGCCGTGGTGTGCTGGTCCCATTTTCTTGGGGCATGTAAGATTATTCCAAGCACGCTTTGGTACTGACATGATCCCCCAGCAATGGGGCCCAGGCCACTATGAATACAGCCCGTAGGAGAGGGCTTTATTACCATTGGATTTCTCATTATGTCTAGTGTACCCATTAATTGGAGAGGGTTTAAGGTATTCTTGGAAAATGGCAAGGTTGATTATACAGATTTTATTTATTTTTGACATTGTGAAAGTGGGCTCTTGCCCCCCCCCCCCCCCCCCCACACACACACACACTCACTCACACCCTCACACCCTCACACACCCAAAATACAAAATTGCCAACAAGTCTAACTGGCAAGATAAGCCTAAACAGTTCTGAATGTGCATCTTGTATATGATGTCATGACTCAGTTGAGGCGAAGGCTTCCCAAGCTCCATCTTGCTATGCATACTGAAGTGAAGACAATGTTTGCCAAGGGTGTGTGTTAGGGGCAGAGCCCTCTATCAACCCTCCCCTTGGGCAGTAGCACCCAGTCAGAGCAACTTAGATTCTTGAATATATTATGTTGTCTCTGGTCATTGTATCCATACTGTAAAGTTATTGTACAAATTATGGGATTTTTTACCATTCATATATTACTTATTTATTAATTCTGCTGATCATAACCACTATATTTGGCTAATAGATATTGATAGGAGTCCATTGATATATAATTTGTCAGGTTTCAAAATTCAAATGTATTTGAAAAATTTACTGTGAAGTATTCTTGGAAATGGCGAGATTAGCTCATGTGGCATTTGTGTTTATTTATATTTCATTATTGTTAATATTAATAGTAGTAATTATTATAATTATTATGAATAATTATCATAGTTGATTATAATCATATTTGCATAGTGATCTTGGTAGCATGTTCCCAATAGAGGTCCAACATTGTCAAAGATTATTATAAGTAGTTAGTGCATATCATAACTTAAAATATTCATGGCATTCACTTCAGCTGTGTAATTTTCTTTGTATTTCGGTAGTTAAGTAGCCTTTGAATTAAAACATTCATTTGGTTAACTTGAATTTTTTTCTCTCCACATTCCCTAGGAGAGACTTCGGTCAAGGGCGAGCCATTGAGAGGCATCAGACACAGAACTTCCTTCTTGGCTTACACAAGGTCCTGGCAGCAGCATTAGCACCCTCAGCCGAGCACATTAAGGATGCTGTGGTAGGTATTACACGTGTGATGATTTCTTTTTATTGAGGAATTTTGAAGCATTTATTTAACCCATTGGGGAAAATACTGTGCTCATTTTTTATATTTTTGTGAAATGTCTTTGTACATAGATGCCTTTCCTTGGATTGGCAGGAAAAATGTATTTTTTATTAGTGCCATAAATATAGATAGTATTATTTTTATTATAAACATTATAATTACTATAATGTTAAAACATTTGTAACAGCAAAATAAGATAACGTAAAATATTTTCATTAATCAATGAAAAGGGTGAACGGGCGAGACAGGCAGTACTCATAACTGGCACACTGTTGACTTAGTACAAGTGTAGCCATCTATGTGTATAAACAATTAAACAAGTAAACTCAAAATTAAATTTTGTTTTACCCTTGTAGGTTGATGTAAGGCCCAGAGTGGAAGCTTTCTGGTTTCTTGGTGGACTTGAATCGGACAATTTGCTAAAAAAGAAACGGCGAAACTTCAAGCCCATGAAAGACAAAGAGCATGAGCTTATGGAAAGGTTTGTTTATATATTTATTTCTTGTATTTTTTAGTCGTGATAATTCAGCAGAATTTTCATATAAATCATAATTATGAAGGATTTATAGATCGCTAATGATATTGAGAATGGTTCTGCTCTTAGTATAGGAATTTGATATAAATTGTCTTTCCTCATGATTTCTTCTTTTAGTCATAATTTTGTTACTTTTATTGAACTTATTTGTTTTGTAGCTACACAATTCCAGAACCTTGTTGTGGTGACATTTAGTTTTCATGTTAGTGGTTGATTAAAGAAAATTAATTGCCTTGTATATACTGTACAATAAACTTACAATCTAGGAATATATTTCAATAAAAGACAAACCATAACTGTGCTGATTTTAGTAATACAAAAAGATAGAAAGCATTCTTTAGATAGGGTATGGTAAAAAGTCACTGAAAGCTCTCTCTATATATAGTATGGTAAAAAGCCACTGAGAGCTCTTTGGATACGGACTGAAAGGATGCCATACAAACAGCCACTCCCAGGAATCTTTTCTACCTGTAAATTTGCTTTGTTCTTCAGAGCCATTCAGGCAGAGAGTTCTCCCAGCCTCTGTGTCCGAACAAGTCTGGGTCTCCCGGAAGTGGTCTCCAGGGAGGACAGCCTAGCAACAAGTGCGCCGGTACCAGTAGAAAATCTAGATCCACGAGCCTACGGTTTCAAGTTCCAGCACAAGCATGCTACGATTGTGACAGGTTTGTCTGACAGCATGATTGTGATTGGTCAGTTGGGATTTTGTTATATGTATTTTTTAAGTATTGGAATTTTGTGCGCAGATGTCTAAAAGAGAGGAATGCCTGATACTAAAGTCTTATTTAAAAAAAAAAAGGAACAAACAAGAGTATTATTTATCTGCTCTGGCTTGGGAGCTTTTTGATTTTTAAGGTCGCTTGGATTGTCATTAGCATGTCACATTTCTTGCAGGATTCTGGCCGGGGGAAGCGAAGGAACACAGCCAGCTCTGGTTGCACAGTAGAGAATTTGAAGAAAAATTTAGCCTGGAGTTTGGACCTCACAACGTGCACAATGCTTTAATGCAGAAGATGATTGTGTCTTCATTTTCTCAGGCACTTGCACATGCCACATATCAAGGTAAGTGGGCTACAAATAGGTTTCTTGTGGGATGATTGGGTGATTATTGACTAGTGCAGTATTTTATGTAAATACTGATTATTATATATATAAAATTTTTTCCCACTCTTCTTTTTTTTTTCTTCTTCTTTCTTTGTCTTTTTCTTTTTTCTTTCTTCCAGTTTCCCCACCTAATTCTTTTATTCCTACTTCAGTGTGGTCACAACTTACCCCAAATGTGACAGGTTTTTCCTCGGGGTACAGTCTTTGACCAGAACATCAGACAGGACCTGTTTTGTTTGCTTGTTTTGGTGCTATCTTTTTATCTTTTTTTCCTTTTCTTTTTTCTTTTCTTTAGCTACTACATTACTTCCGATTTATTAAGACCCATTTTTTGTCATATTCTAATAAAAAAATTAAAGAAAGAAACAGCATGAGCATCACCAGTCCACTGTTTTTCTCAGTGAATTAGGCTGCATCCTTTCTTCCTCTGTCATAACTTGTAACATGTCAGTTTGAAGCTGATCATTCATTCCCTCTTTTATTCTAAGATATTTTGTGAATAGGCTGCCTGCAGTTATAGATAACTTTATCTTTTCAGGATTTGGTCCGGTGACAGAGTTAACTTACCCAATTGTACAGCAGTCAGCAATAACGGACGGTCAGAAGTGGAATTTCAGCTTGTACCAGATGAACACTTGTGCTCTTCACTCTGAAAATGCTACTGAAAACCCACATAACAACATATTGTGGTGAGTTGGTGATTATTAGCCTATGTCTACTTTTTTTTTTCTTTTATCTAGCTTCCTTTTTTTCTCATTTCTCATTTGCGCTTTCTTCTTCAGCTCTTCCTCTTTTCCTCCCTCCTCTCCCTCCTCCTCTCCTCCCTCCTCTTCTCCCTCCTCCTCTCCTCTCTCCTCCCCTCTCTCCTCCCTCCTCCTCCTCCTCCTCCTCCTCCTCCTCCTCCTCCTCTCCCTCCTCCTCCTCTCCCTCCTCCTCTTCTCCCTCCTGCTTCTCTCCCTCCTCCTCCTCCTTCTCTCCCTCCTCCTTCTCTCCCTCCTCCTTCTCTCCCTCCTCCTCCTCTCCCTCCTCCTCCTCTCCCTCCTCCTCCTCTCCTTCCTCCTCCTCTCCCTCCTCCTCCTCTCCCTCCTCCTCCTCTCCCTCCTCCTCCTCTCCCTCCTCCTCCTCTCCCTCCTCCTCCTCTCCCTCCTCCTCCTCTCCCTCCTCCTTCTCTCCCTCCTCCTTCTCTCCCTCCTCCTTCTCTCCCTCCTCCTCCTCTCCCTCCTCCTCCTCTCCTCCTCTCCCCCCCTCCTCCTCCTCCTCCTCCACTTCCTCCTCCTCCTCCTCCTCCTCCTCCTCCTCCTCCTCCTCCTCCTCCTCCTCCTCCTCCTCCTCCTCCACCTCCTCCTCCTCCTCCTCCTCCTCCTCCACCTCCTCCTCCTCCTCCTCCTCCTCCTCCTCCTCCTCCACCTCCTTCTCCTCCACCTCCTCTCCTCCACCACCTCCTCCTCCTCCTCCTCCTCCTCCTCCTCCTCCTCCTCCTCCTCCTCCTCCTCCTCCTCCTCCTCCTCCTCCTCCTCCTCTTTTGTCCTTGTCTTGTCAGAAGCTGAATAGTCAGTTAAAAATGCTGAGAATTGTTAGTGGTGAAGGATGATTCATGGTAGGTAATATAGGGCTTGTGTTGTAAATAGGTTTGTATAGTTGATGACTTGTAAACTGGTTTGTGTTGCAGATGATTCTTTTAATAATCACAACGGTTAAAAAAAAGAAAAAAGAAGAAAAAAAGCTAAATATTGTTTCTCTTCTTCTTTATTACAATTAATTACCTACTTATTACCTATTTAAGGTTGAGTCCAGAGCAGAAGCTCTTTGAGGCTGTGGAAGAGAGTGGAGTGAAGGGTCTTAATGAAGAGGTCCTGACAACCCTCATTGCCATGTACCTGAAGAAGGGCATTGTCAGAGAAAATCCATCGCCTTACCTCGCTCCCTATAAGGTACTCTAGATGTCCTTTTTGTTGTGTGTGTTTGTGCGTGTGTGTGATTAATTTACTTTAATTTTGAAGTTAAGGGTAACAGTAGGAAAAGTTAGATTTATTTGTTTCTTATTTTCTCATAGAAGGAAGTTTTTTTGGATTGCCCTTGAGATTTGATATTAAACCGGGAACATTTGCCTTTGTTTTGCCAATTAATTTCTCCCTCCTCCCCCGGTAGCACCTGGCGAACCACAATGCACCCGAGGAATACCGAGTGGAGTTCCAAGAATACCTCCGGGAGTTGCTCTCTGGACGTCCCAGGCACTTCCTCAAGCCAGAAATGTACCTGTGGGAGAAGATCTACAAGCGGGACAATAACACTAGACCCTATGAACCTCCTCGTCGGTTCTTCGAGGAACATTAGTAAGTCTCGACGAGAGTACAAGTTCTGATGTGTTTGCTCAGTTAAAAACAAATCAGAATGGAATATGAACAGAATATATGCCATGATATTTCAGAATTGGAAAGATTTCCTAATTGGATGGAGTAGAAATGAAAATGGTCTATTTCATCTTTTATTTCTTCCATTCCTGGTGTAGATTTGCTTCATTATGTTATTGATTTTAAATAATTGAGGATTTAAGTTTCTCCTCAATCATTCTGTTCTCATGGAGTTTGATCAAATTGTATTATAGAAATGATGTTATTACAGTGGAAGTAATTTAGGGGTAACTGTTTTCTTTTTTTTCTCTCTCTCCTTTTCCTCTATATTCTCAATTTGTTGGTAGATCTCATTTTTATTATAAATATGAGGCTGTAAGCCAGATCAGCATAAGATTATAAAGACCATACTTGTCTTACATACAGTATTTCTCTATTTTCATTACTACATCTATTTCTTTTTCTCCTTGCAGCAACCAGAAGAATCCCGAGAAGAGACGTCTCGATGACTATAGTCCCATCTACATTCCGAAAGCTTGCAGGAAGGATAGAAAGCAGAAATTCAAACCCAGATTAAATTCAGAGCACCTTTTTAAGTATGATTAAATAAACTGTTTTGGAGAATGAGAGGGAACTATCATGTAGGTTGAGCTTAATTAAGAAATGGGTCCTGACTTTCAAAATGGTGAAATTTGAATTTATCTGAGATGTCGTTATTTATTTGTCGATAATTTAGTCATATTTCACCTTAATTTGTTAAAGAAAATATTATACCACTGTACAGTTCAGAACTAGGACTTGAGTGTTCTTTTTGTAAATAAATGTTTATATTAAAATGTATGGTTTTATTTCAATCCTGTTTGTCACTTACCAGAACAAATATGTAACTGGATGCTTCAAGTGTTACAGTGCTTAAATGAGTAGTATTTTTCATCATTGTCTTTATTTTTGTTGAAATCACCCACCAAATTTTAAATTAAATAATGTTAAATGTAATGGTTTTAGAAAAAAACAAAATATACATGTATGGGCAAATGGATGCATTTTTACATGGTCAAGAATAATAAATTATGAAATAAATCTTCTTCCTTGATCAAAATAATGAAATTTCACTTTCTTAAGAACCCCCCAATCCCTTGCTTCTTTGTGTCGTGGGGGGCATGGGAGGCGGAGAGTGAGGGCCAATGTACGACTCACCCCTGCCTTGGACCTCAGCCCTTGCCTCAACTAATTTTGCATGGTCTATTCTTCTCCCTCTTTCTTTTTCCTTCTCATCCCCCCTAATCCCTTGCTCGTTGTATTGCATGGTCTTTTCTTCTCTCCCTATCCCTTCTTTCTCCTCTTCATCACTCCCTTCTGCTGTGCTGAAAAGTTGAAAGGCTGGCTTTGTGTCCGTTATGAACAGCCTCAGGGAGCTATGGGCATGCTATTCCCTTGGTTAATTGTCTAGCCCTTACCCCTCATGGGGACCCAGATGGTAGACCGTTTCCTCTCCCCATTTATTTCAGGCTCACTTCTCCTTTGACCACGGCTCCGACTGATACTAATACCCCCTCCTCAATGTCTGCAATCAACTCTGTCCAAATTGCTCCACTCAGACACGAAAGTGCCAATTGTGATGGCTCAAATCTGAGGTGGCAGTTCTCAGATTCAAACTAGGCTGCATAATTGAAGCTAGACAAGAAATGCCGACGAGGTTTTTCTCTTTCTACTTTGAAACTACTTCCCTCCTCTCCGTTCCCCTCCCATCTTCTCAAGAAGTCTCAGCTTCTCCCCAGTATCTCTTCCCTTTACTCCGAACCATCCTATCTTTACTCCCGCTCTTGCCAAGTCAAATTCCTCTTCCAGTCTAAATCTAGATACTTCAGTCTCTACCACTTCCTCGGTGCCTACCCCTCACTCCCTCATCCACTCTCTAATCCCTCTATTCCTATTCGCTCTGCAATCAAAAAATTTGCCGATAACCATCCCCATCCTCCACCTGTTCCCCCTACCCTCTCCCTCCCACTCACCCAAAAAACACCCCCTCCTCTCCTCTGCCACGTTTATCACCTCATTATCCATACCACCCCCACTTGGATGCTCACGTAACTCCCATATGCCTCAACAATGTCCTTCTCTGGGGCCTTCCCCTCCTGGCATACTTCCCCACTTCCCCCTGTTCCCTTATTCACTTTTCTGGATTTTTATCCTACTTCTACAACTATTGTTTCTGACCGTATCACCCTTTGATTGTTTCATAATAGCTCTTTTGCAGTTTCCTCATACAGTGTTACTCACCCTTCCTCAGACACATATCCCCCATGTGATCTGATGGTCCTATACCTTTAACCACATTCCTATTTACAAATCCCCATTGTATTCCATCTGCTCCCTCTCTATACCCCTTTTCACTACCATTAGTCAGGGGCCCAGCCCCAAGAAATACCAATTTGACTTGACACCCCTGCTATAAAATTTTTGACACTTGGGCTAGGTCAGGGATGGTGTTGGACACCTGAAAAGTGAACTTGGCAAGTTTGATCGGATTGCGCAACTTCTACAGGCACGTTTATTTGACGTAAGATGACGACAGTCAAAATCTGAAAATTGGGGTAGGGGAAACTTAACCACTCATATCTTCTGAACCCTTTGGCCAAATCAAGAAAACTAACCATCATTCTCTTCCTGAGAGGGTAGGCTTTCATTTCACGATTAATTGAATTCTTGCAAATGGCCTCAATCGTCAGCAGAGGTCAAAAGGTCACAAAAACTAGGTCATATTTAAAATTCAGGGCAAAGATCAAGCATTGCATAATTCTCATGCTTTATAATTGATATCCTGATTTTTTTCATGTTAACCTGCTGAGTACACCCTAGAGATAATTATGGGAAAGTAAGGCGAAATTGGAAGTTCAACTAATTAGCTAATTAATTGATTGATTATAAGCTATGAATCTCAAATGAGCTAAAATGACCGGGAAATTGACATTGGTCATATCTCCTCAAGGAATGGGGTTAGAGGGGTAATAATGGTGTCTTTACCCAGGTTTTGGGGGTCAAGGAATTCAATGGAGGTATTTTCGTTTGTCTCACATCATTACGTCATGTCGTAATCCAAGATGGCCGTCAAAATGGCTGCGCACCTTGGATAAACCCTCGCATCTCAGGGAATGGGCCTAGGAGAGAAATATTGGTGTCTAATAAACGATACTATCATTATTACCATTATCATGTTGATAGCAGCAATAAGCATATGCTAATAAGAATAATAATGATAAAAATACTAATATTCATCACAATACACATATAAGTAATACTGATAATAATGAAAAAAAGATATCAGCACAAAACAGGAGAACATAATATGAAAACATTCAAAGTTCATTGTCACCGGCCAGACTTATTGAAGTAGCATTGGAATGGTAATCTATCGGCATTTCTGACCTGTAAGACCATTATATACCATGAATTTGGAGTTTTCCAATGGTTGTATGGTAGATGGAATGGTAGTTCAGGGGAACTCCACATTCCATTGAAGCTACAGAGTGTGATGTTTATCCTATGGAGGGATAAGCCTTTAGTGTTTTACATGACACTATAGACACCTGGTCTCGGGGACATAAGGGTGATACTCTAGAGGCCTTGTAAGCAAGGGCACCACTGTGCTCTGTTCTGGGTCGGCACGGCCAGGAGAGGCCGAGGCGCTTATGTGGCACTTGTGCCGCAGTTCAGTACTAAATGTCGAACGTGGGTATTCGTGGGGATTTATCTTTGGTAGATATTCCTAATTTCGGTTGAAACAGTACTGAATTCCGTGTGACTATACCAAGTAGATGAGACAAAGGTCTGTATCTCTTCGTACTCTCTAAGGGGAGAACTTGGACTCGTCAGGAGACGAGGAAATTCGATTGTAACAGTAAGTACCCATTAAAGGTATAATATTTTTCATGTATTTATGATCATCAATTGATATAATACTGAAATAATGGAAGTTTATAAGAAGGGAAGTCACACGTAAAATTGGACGTATTATTCTTATAACAAACACTGAGCCCGCTCCGGAGAGAGTGGAATAAAATCTGTTATCCAGTGGCCTACACGCGAGTATATTTGGTTATATTCCATTTGTTGCCATCTTTATTCAAAGGTTGTAAGAAGTGGTATAATAGCACTCAAAAGACGGCTAGGTAATATCATAATTGTATTAAAATTGCTTATACTCCTGATATTGGTCGACTGTGATTGGCGCTTACATTGTGGAGATCTCAGTAATCTGATTGGAATGACATGGTAATGAAGTTAGGTATAAAAAGAAAATATACATAATAATGTACATGAAAAGTCTGAGAGCAGTGACTTAAAACCGGTTAAAGTTATGCATACGAATGTCAACGATCATACCACGTTGAAAGCACCGCTTCTCGTCCGATCAGCGTAGTTAAGCAACGTTGGGTCTGGTCAGTACTTGGATGGGTGACCGCCTGGGAACACCAGATGCTGTTGGCATTTAATTATGTATGTTAAGTTCTATGCATTTCTTTACAACATATAGCAGCTCTTTTCATTTTCGTGCAAAGAAAGCAATTGAAAATATTCTTTAATCAATCAATCAAATCAAATAGAGTAAAAGTCAACGCTGTTGGAGGAAGGATAGGCAGAAAACGAATAGATAAAAGTTAGGGAGGACTAAAGTAGACATTTTATTAAATTCCTTCTAATGTTTAACAGATTTTAGAGATGATAATGATGATAGTGGTGATAATTGTGTTGGTAAAAATCATAATATTAGTAATATGTACCAGAAAAAGTAAAATGTAAAACCCAAGCCAGGAATATAAATTGTGTAGTGTCCCCGTGAAGGCCAGCGATTTCTAGTTAGAAATATCTATACTTTTAATATTTTCTATACTTTTGATATTGTCAAAGAACCTCCCTCTGTATATATATAGTAAAACAAATAATTATAAGAAATATAATATTTAAATATGATTGAGGACCCACGAATTCCCGCCTCTCGGCCAGTTGATTGTGGCGAGAGGAACTGAGAGGACCTATTTTGTATTGCTCTACGAGATAAGTATTCGGGGATTTATGCTTTTTCATGGCTAGCTCTTTTAACCGGTGATTAATCCGGAAAGGCTACGGGATATCATGTAGCTTCCTATAAATAAAGGAAGATCTGTTATTTTATTTCTTTTACGTGTGTTTGTTTCACCTATACCTCCAGTTCCTCGGCTCTGAGTTAACATCCCTTAATGCTCTTCCGAAATATTTTAAGCCCGTTTGCACATGTTATACTATTTCGTTTGCTTATTTCATTTTGATAAGTTTAAGTATTATTTTAAAGGGAGTGGTCACAATGAGCTCATTCAGTGGCGAAGGGCCGTTTAGGATACGGACCCGCACTCCACAATAGACACTGATAAAAGCTGATTTTTAAAATAAGAACAGTCAACGATCATACCACGTTGAAAGCACCGCTTCTCGTTCAGCGAAGTTAAGCAACGTTGGGTCTGGTCAGTACCTGGATGCGTGACCGCCTGGGAACACCAGATGCTATTGGTATTTTATTATGTATGCTAAATTGTATGCATTTCTTTACAATATATAGTAGCTCTTCTTATGTTTGTGTAAGAACACAAGAACAATAAACACATTTTACAGATGTTCCCCCCCAATCCCTTGCCCGTTGTTGTCGTGGGGGAGGGGGGGGGGCTTAGAAAGTGGAGACTGGGACCCAATGATGGGGAGCTCCCCAACCTTTGGACTCAGCCCTCGACTCAACTAATTCTGCATGGTCTTTTTTCCCTTCCCACTTTTGTTTCTGTCCCTTCACCAATCCCTTCTACTATCC